TCATGTCCAACTTCTTTGCTGAAATGTCTGACAACATGAGATAATTTCAACTGTCATATCTGCCAGTGATCAAGCATGGTAGTCAGCTGCTGCGAGTCATGACAGTTCAGTTATAACCAGCTCATAGAGTATTAGTGTCAGTATCAGTGGTCTTAAATTCTGACGAAGTATCAATAGATTCAAGCTCTGGTAAGTCACTATGAGATATGTCACAGTCCTCATCTACATTGTGAGAGAATGTAGTGATTGTAGAGAGTTTGATCCTCAGGTGATGAAGGATATTATCTGAAGTGCATCTGACAGCGACAGTCGTGCGATTCAAAAGGCAAAGAGCAGTTTATCCAGGATCAGGATCAGATGAGAATCAGGTAGTGAGTCGTAAAATAGCAGAGACAACGCAGAATGGAACCCGAACTCCTCTCCTTTCCCTCCAACCCCCGTCAAACACAAACTTCAACCCCGCTTACCCGCCTTGCCAGCAACGCCAGCACCACCACCACAACGTCCACCATCTCCATAACACCAACAACCAGCAGCAGCAGCAGCGGCGGTAAGAGCAACAACAACAACAGCAACAGCAACAGCAATGGTAGCGGTCTCGGCCCAGGTACAGACACACGACACACCACCACCACTACTACCTCGCGCCGCGTCCTCCCTTTCACAATCTCCAACCCCTTTTCAAGCTCCGACTCTTACTTCCCCCCCGTTTCCCAAACAGCCACAAACATGCCCTCCACCGGCCTCCGCTCCATCTCCCACCGCGTAAAATCCCCCCTATCATTATCAGGCGCCGAGCCAGCTGCCATCGAAACCCCCGCCGCACCCCCATCCACAACAACCACAGCATCCCCCTCCGTATCCGGCGTCTCAGGGGTATCGGTATCCGATGACTTCCCTAACGCCACCGCCGCAGGCGCCAACACCACCGCTACCACCTCTCCTACCGCCGCAGCCGCAGCCGCAGCCGTAGCCGCCGCGGCCGCCGCCAGCAGCTCCGCCCTCGAAGAAGCCTGGGACTACGCCGAGACGGAGTGGTGGGGGTGGATAATCCTCCTGGTAACCTGGCTGGTCTTCGTAGTGGGCATGGGCAGCTGTCTGGGGGTGTGGAGCTGGGCGTGGGATGTGGGAGAGACGCCGTACGCGCCACCGGAGCTGGAGGATGATCCGACGCTGCCGATTGTGGGGTATTATCCTGCGCTTATTATCTGCACGGCAGTGATGGCGTGGGTGTGGGTTGTTGTGGCGTGGGTGGGGATGAAGTATTTTCGGCATGCGAATATTTCGGGGGAGGATACTTAGTGGTTACTTGTATTTCTTGCTTTTTTCCCTTCTAGATATATTGTTTTGTTTCATCGGTGTTGAGGTGGGGGTTTATGGGTTTTGTATGATATGTTTTGTTTATATTATTCAAAGGGCTTGGGTATATAAACCCGTTACATGTTACCACGGCATGTTGGAACTTCATGTCTACATACCGTTACTTTGGGGGCGTTTGCCTTTTAACTTCCTTCGAAGAAATATATAACTCTAACTAACAAGGGGGTATATTGAATCGCGTATCCCGGAATGCTATTCTAAAAAAGATTAACTGACTCTGGCTGACTGCCTGTTGTTTTTGGGCCGAAAAGGGGGATAAAAATGAGGGTTTGGAGGTTGGATGATAATCAATAACAAAACCATAAAGATAAGGCGTAACGTAGCGTAACCAAAAAAGGGGAAAAACTAACTCCTCGCCGCTACCATATATTTATCCTTGTTGATCCATCCTATCAATATCAATTCCTTTCACCTGTGGCACCCACCACCCTCTTGATAGACGCCGATTTCTTTTTTTATCCCAAATCAACATAATGAAACCCTGATTGTTTAACAGGCCATCAAATCCTGACACCGACCAGGAAAAAAAAAAAAAAAAAAAAAAAAAAAAAAAAAAAAAAAAAAAAAAAAAAAAACCCTGTCGTTAAAATGGGTTTTCCCCCTTCCCCCGGGGAAACCATCCAAGGCAAAAAAAACCTACGCAAAAAGAGTCCCCAATGTATCTATCCAACAGCAGGAACCATAAGAGAGCGAAAAATCACACCCGAAGCTGCACACGTCGTATCTCCCGCTCCAATTCATCCAGCCCTGGTCCGCCATTGTTACCCTGCTTCTTCACCCGGGGGGCTAAACCGGGGGTATCAGCAGCCGTGAACGGTTCTGAGATGGATGGCGGATTGTTGTTGTTGTTGTTGTTGGTGGTGGTGGTGGTGGAGTCATTCGTGTTAGTATTATCTAGGGAGACGGTGGTGCCGGGGGCTTTGCTGACGAGGCCCTTGGAGACGGCGAAGCCGGCAGAGCGGTCGTGGTTTGGGTCGTCGTCGTAGAACTCATCGATGATGGGGTGGATGAGGACGGTTTGTTTGTGGATTGTGAGCATGGAGTTGGTGGGGACGGTTACCCAGTTATCTAGATGGGATTTTAGCAACACACGTACGGATTTTTTTTTTTTTTTTTTTTTTTTTTGGGGGGGGGGGAAGAGATTGTAGCGTAAAAAGGCATAAAAGAAGAAAATACAAAAGGGGAGAGAGAGAGAGACTAAAAAACCACTCACGTCTTTCAAACGTCAACGGCTCACTGGCCACCAGCACAATATCCGCCCCCTTGTCATGCCTCTCCATCTTAAAATGCCCCTTCGTCTTCCCCTCTTTCCACTTCGTCCCGGACGAAAAATACAAACTCGCAGCCTCATCCGTCTTACTACTCACATACCGCGTGCATACAACCGTGTGCCCATCCGTGACCGCAAAGTTCAGCAAACTCCTCGTCTCCAAACCCGTAACCCCATAACCAGCCGGGATCGCTGCAATCAGCTCGTTGATCCTACTGATCGTCTTGCCCATGATCTCTCGCAGCAGCGCATGGCCAAAGCCACCCTCCGGCGCCGAGCTAGGATCAACCCCGCCCTCCCGCTCCATCAGATCCAGAAACAGCGCAAACGCCCACTCGCTATCCGTCCCACCCTTGACGCCTAGATACCACTTGTCCGCCAGCGAGTCGGCCAGGTGGCGCTTGATATACTTCCAGCCGCCCAGGTTGCCATTGTGCATCCACATGAGCGTGTTGTGTTGGAAAGGGTGGCAGTTGTTGTCGGCCAGGGCGCCCTCGGTGGTGGCGCGGACGTGGGCGAAAATGAGAGAGGAAGTTGTTTTGGAGGCGAGGCGTTCGAGGTTCTCGCAGTTCCAGGCGGGGAGGGTAGAGGTGAAGATGCATGGGTCTGGGCCTAGGGATAGTGCGGTGTAGAAGCCCACGCCGAAACCGTCACCGTTTACCGGGCGGCGGGTGTCCTGCGAGAGTGGTTAGTTGGCTTGCTGGCTGGGGGCCCATTTTGACTTCTTTTCAATCGCCGTCGGGCGTTATGGAGTGAACTCACTAGTCTGAGGCGAGAGTCATAGGATTGAGTTAAGATGGAGTGGCTTGGTTCTGTTATGAGTTTGCTCAGCAGGATATCATGTCTCCCCTTGTATACCTGTGATAGGAGCGGGTGATGTTAGTTTCATATATAAGCAAATGTGGATAGTGTTAAGAAGCATATTGTATAGCTATCTACACAGCTACCTAAGGCTGTAGATAAGCGGGTATCGTATTCAGATCAACAGGGGCTTATCATCGACATACTAGAAACCGACACATCACGGCAGCTCGCTGCGAGCAAAACCACTGGCACTGGCGGCCACGGGTGGTTTTGTAGGTATAGTGTAAGAATGATTTTGCGTACAGATATAAACTGTATAAGAATATGATATGCCCGGAGGGGGATGGTGTAGGTAGGTAGGTATGTTATGGAAAGGTGTTGGGTGTTAGAGCTTCGAGATGTGAAGCTAAGACGATAGCTCAGAGAAGCTTTGGAGGCAAATAGAAGATAGCTAGACTGGTAGCTAAGGAAAGAGAAGGGGTATCACAACAAGTAACAATAAAGAAAGCAGGAATTTAACACATAAGAGTATATTCTAGTTCTATTTATCCGATGAACCTGTTCTTTATAAGATATATAAATATTTAGTTACAACAACTAAGTTCTTCTGTTCGGGGGATGAGCCAATCCACGTGATTGATGTCGTGATATCACATGACAGTTTCAAATTCCATCTGTCATGGTGTTTGTTGGCGGTCCCGGGTTTGATCGGCCCTTCTACCAGCAGTGCGCTGGTGGTGACTGAGCTCTTTTGCCCCAGTAGCCTACAACTCAAGAGAAGATGGAGTGACGGAAGACAAGTGGGAGGAAGGGCTGGTTTTATATGCCTTCAGCCCCCCCGATCTACGCTAGTGGCAACTTACCCCCTTGAGACATATTTGGAGCGATCGTGAGAGACCGTTATGGGATTTTAATGAGATAGGAACTGGTTCAGAGATTACTTGAGGATGTATAGAGCCAGCCCGGGCCAGGTGAGATAGAAACGGTGCCTACAATACAGAACGTCCTCTACGCTTCCCGTTGATGTGCGGCTAGAAATTCGATTTACAAAGAACACAATTCATGAGATTCAGCGTTATTCCAGCCGCTTTGTCATTAGATACAGTTATTGAGAGAGAAATATGGGAAAGAAATATGAAAAAGAACAAATTCATCTCATGCCACCGCATGCTTGGATACTCGACGAACAGTCTCCACGATCTTGACTCCACGAACTTGTGGACACCTCGTTTGCAAACAAACCACACGCCCGAGGATTTCGCAACTTGCTCGTTCAATCATTCTACAAATAAGGCTGAGATGCAAGTACGTGCTTCTGCGGTCATGGGGTCGACACCGTATCCTAATTGTACATGGTCTCGAGAGGCCCCGTGCGATTGAATGCGCGGGCGAATTCCTCGTTCGATGCCACGGCCTGCTCCAGATGGTTGTAAGACACACGCTCTCCACGGACAGTGGCGAGTGCATGGGTGATCATAGCCAGGTTTTTGATCTGAAGATGAATACTCCGTATCTTCGATTGGTGTTGAAGAATCTGATGACTGCTTGGCTTGACAAAGAACATCCATGAAAAGTTCTTGCAGCTGTTCCATTGTAACGGGCTGCGGAGGGTTTGCGTGGTTAGGGCTACCTGGAGGTATTTGGGGGCGAAGAGGTGAAGGGGGAGGAGCTTTGGTGCCGTTAGACATTGTGGGTTTGGGCATTGTGATCGATAAAGATATAGTGACAAATGTGTTGGAATAAGGAAATAGTTTTGCTCGGTTTTCTTGATTGCCTCAGGATTTTGGGGGGAATCGTGCCTCCTTATAAGCCATTCTGCCAACACTCCGAGCACCTATTCTTTCGCCGTCTTCTCCTGCTTGGACCACATGGATACCCCAACTTGCTCTGGATGGGTACGAGCATTAATAAAGAGGGACATGCAGCTTTGGTAAGACATGGCATGCAAACATAGCTATTGCATTGCATTTTGACTTGTGCTATGCAGGCACGGGCCTTGATGCACAAATAATCTAGGTCCGAATCATGGCGCCGTGTCTGCACACTAAACTCCGCATGCTAGTTTGCATCCACACCAGTCTCAACCGTGTGGAGATTTGGAAAAATGATCATTTCGCTATGCAATGCAGTAGTCCTCGTCCTTGTCCACAGTTTCTTTGGCTTGCAGAAGAAAGGTGTTATCCCGCCTATGCCTAAAGCATTAATGAGAATTTCAGTTAAATCCTTGTTATTGAAAATTTCGGACTTGGCGTATTATTAGGTTGTTGTTCCCGCTTGAACCAAACTAACTTTTGTTTAGCGTCAGAAGTACTTGAAGAAGACGTAGCCTTCTCGTTGATTGCCAATTTCCCCAACAATAAAAATTCCATTCTTCACACTTTTACGCTCCCACATTACTTGTCGATATGAGTGAGCTTTTTCAGAATGGCCACCCTAGAAGGAATCATCACGAAAATAGACAAGATGAGTGACTGTATATGTGAGATCGATTTGAATGACTCAACATACAGTAAGCTAAAGGACAAAATCATGTGGTTGTCTGCCCGGAGCGCAGTCCACCATTCACTAGAAGACCCCACCCGGCATTTACAAAATGCCTCAAGAGAGCCCCTTCCCAGTGTTAATGGAAGGCTCAGCAAATTTCTTGAAGTCCTGTACAGACAACAAATCAAAGCTAGCTCAACACATGCATCACAATGGCAAGAAATATGCAGCCTATCTTGCCAGGCTTTACTACTCATCACTGTAGTCTATAACCCACTGAATATCACTAAAATGAGTCATATCAAATTCAAATGTTTGATGGACTATGCAGAACCATACCTGCATGTGAAGCCTTTGCCTGAGAAATGGATATTTCATCAGGAGATTCAAATGATAATAGCAGTGAGCTCTGAGTTAGAAAACATATCTGTGTTCAGGAAAGATGCAGCTCCAAATATACCCTCTGAGGATATAAACTGATGAAATTAGGGTACTTCATGCTCGAGTTTGATGCTGAAAACAGGACTGATAAAGCGCGATGCACTGGAAAGCGCCGCTGGGATGATTCGTCTTCGCGGGACAGGGCTTCAGAAGGCCAAGTAAATGATCGCGATATATGGCATGACAGGATGGCTTGGAGTTCAGACGCACACACTCAAGATCATCAAGACCACTTGCAGGAGCTGGAGGCTGGATCTCGGTCACCAAGCAGCGCATTGGAGGCACAGAACATGCAGGAAACAAGCACAATGCTCATTGCTAGGCAACAAACACAAAATAGCAGGAGTAGGTATCATAATAATATCAGATGCTTTAAATGCTGCTAACAATACAATACTGCAGAAATTCAATTTATGTTCTCAAAATCTCCAATCAGCCTTATTCTCCTTCTTGAGAACTTATTGACTGATGTCATCCACGTAGCAATCAATGAGTGTCAGAAAGAAGAACGGGAGAATCAACAACAAAATGCTTGTCAGTCTTGATATCAGAAGAGGAGGAAAAGGATATTTCCATCACACTTTGGACTGGTCGAAGACAGGTGTTTCAAATCATCAATATGTTCAGGATGCAGTGGATCTGGTCAGTGTCACCCAGCCATGTATCACCTCCACCTCGTGGTATTTAGGAACTAGGAATGACTCTTCTGTCTTGAGATTTCTCTTGTCCAGCAGCTGGGTGTCTTTTATGTCCCCCTCTTTTATATCCCCTGGCTTCATTACTTGGAACAGTGCTGCATCTTCAACTGTTATTGTTCTTTCGTAGTCAATGCCGGAAAATATATGAGCTTGTATATACCATTTTTGCTTGACTTCGTCTCCAATCTAGGTCAATGTGTCATTAGCTAGGATCGCAGTCTCGGGTTTTGATTTATGTACCGCTTCGGCCATTGTGTTTAGTGTAGAGGAGCCAGTCGAGTAAAGCTCTATTTGAATGTTAATAAATGACTAATGTGGTTTTGGGTTGAGATCATACCGAACTTACGCACGTTTTGAAGATGCAGAAGGGTTACTTTTTTATCCTAAACAGCTGTATGATCAGATGGTATGGACTCCAATCTCACTTATGAGAGACAAATCTTCTCAACAGAAGAAAAACTCTTTCAGTTAAAGAAATCTGCCAAAGAGATGGAGGGGCAAAGGCATTTGCTGCTGGGCAAGATTTTGGGTCCTTCTCTATTTCATGTGACTTTGTTAAGGCAGCAATGCATGAAGCAAGGTTTGGGGTGGGTGAGCGGAATTTAGTTGCTGCAGAAAATTTCAATACTAGCCCCATTTTTGAGAAATTCAGACTTGGCGAGTATGGTTCATCCACCACAAAAATAAGGGGACGACGATTTCGCGATGCTTCCGTGATTGAACAACCCATTAACAGTTACAGATGAGTGAAGGCGACGCACACCACTCTATATATAAGGAGTACATGTCTGCTTCTTAACTCAGGAGCAAGTCTTCCATGTTTGGTTCACAGAGATAGTAATAGAGTGTACTAGAATCATTGTAACACGAATTAAAATAAATAAATATATAAATAAAAAATAAAAAATCGCGACAGAGTAGAGGCACGATGCCAACATCCTTATTTTCCTGAAGCAGATCCCACGGTCCAATGTCCGGGCCATGACATCACTATCTACTTTGTAAGATATAATACCCGACAGTACCGGCAACCAGGTCAGATCGAGGTAACAACATGGCACATGGAAGGGCAAACGTGAAGCGGCGACTCAGTGATCGTCACGTCTGATGATGTCGTCTTCATCTATCAGGAACTGCCGCAAAACCGAGTCCGTGCTCTTCTTGTCAATCTGATAGGTGCCCGCCAGAATGGTATATGTCACTCGTTCTGTATCATCCTGCAGCACTAGCCAGCAAGCGATCAGAAAGCCTTCTACCTCCCAGGCTACACGATCAGCAATGTCAGGGAAGGGTTCCAATCCACTGCCCCTATCACATCCTTGTTGCTCGAATGATTTTTCATAGATGTCCCTCCAGGCCAAGTAGAAAGGCGCTAAAGTAGGATAACGATCCTCGATCGTCTTTTCATCGATGTGGCTTTCATTAGTAGGATTTTGGAGCCACAAAGGGTCATACCAAAGGTATGATGTTTGCCAGTCGGGGAATAGCCGATAACCATAGCCTGCTGATGTGTTTATTTCAGCTTCTATCTTTCCCCCGCTCTTAATCTTCTGAAGATGTGAGTGCGAGTCAGCATGGACAGTGATTATGCCACTGATGTTATTGTGGTCGATAGTATTCAGCCGGAGGCCATAACCTGTTAGGAGCAACAAAGAGGATTCGCCGCCTTCTGACACTTCTATTGCGTTCTCCTCCAGTACTGGAGATTTTGGCCATGCGATCATATATTTGCACCGTTGTATGACTGACATCAGGTGAGCTATCAGCCCAGAAAGGTAACCACGAACAAGCTCAAATAATGAGCGAGTACCAGTAATTTCATGTTCGGACAGATTAGGACGCTGTCCCAGTGTACAAGACATCGTTTCAGCCACGATCGTGGACGGATACCGCTGAATGGCGACCTGGAGTGGCCTTAAAGGACTTGCCATCGTTGGGAATAGGATGAGGAGGGTTATGGTCAGCAGCACCAACAGTTGGACTACGGGTATTTAATAATAATTTGCTATTACAGCAGCGAAGGCACCGTCGTCTTGGAGGATAACGTTATTCTGTTGTAATCTAACTACGCGGGTTACACTAAATAGGTTGGGGTGGCACGTGACTAGGGTAGGTGTAGTAATCACCAACACCCCCCCTTGCTACACCGTGGCCTATAATAAGCCGCCACCCGCGGCCTCTCTCATCCTCAAATCTTTCAAAAATGCAATAATAATTAATTACATCAATCAGACCCTGATTTCCTCATTAGGAAAGACGTCCGTACAGCAATAACTGTAAAAATCAAGAAATACATGCAAAATTCATTGATTCACTGTATCATTATTATTATTCAATCATTCCTTCTTCTCAATTTCCTGAATGCTAATTCTTTTGATAAAATCTTCAAATGCAGGCTTCATCAGTGGCTTGATAAGGCTGTCAGCTATGTTCACTGTAGAATCAACATGTTTCATCATGATTTCTTCTTTTTCAATCAAATCACAGAGAATATGATATCTAATCTCAATATAATATAATCTTCATGTTAAGAATTCTCTCTTTGCTAGATTGATTGCTCTCTTATTATCAACTCATAGATGTGAGCATATTTTCACTTTTTCATCATTCATCAACTCAGTGTCATATAATATATTATTCAGTCAGATTATCTTACAAGCTGTCTTACTAGCTGTTATATATTCAGCTTCTGTGATTGATTTAATGATAGATATCTGTCTTTGTGATTATTATGAGATCAGTGACTCATTAATCAATATAATATAGCTGATAGTTAATTTGTATTGAGAATTCACTCTCACTCAGTCTGAATTGCAGTATACTACAGAACTCAGACTCTTATCACTGATCTCTTTTCTATATAATATATTATAATTTTTCATCTTCTTATCATAATGTAGAACATGCTTTAACACTGCTCAACATGCTTTATATAAATATAAGTTAAAATACAAGAGATAGTTGATTATAAACATCAGATCTGATCAGCTGCTTGAGATTAAATATTACAATAATTTTAATTCTTGACAATATCTTATAGCTGTAAAGTCATCATTCAATTCTTCTCTTTTATCAGGTGAGAATTCCAGTCATATACTAGCTGCTATTGAGATGTCAGCTGAATTTATCTTATTCATACTGAAATCTTCAAGAACCTTCTCAATATAACAGCTCTATATAACTACTAGATTATTATTTCACTAGTATTTAATCTTCATTTTAAGATATAGCTTAATCTCTTCAATATTCTTTATCTCAAATCTCTTTACAATCTCTCTTAATACTCAATCTAATTGCTATTCTTGAGATTCTGTTATCTAATAATCATTGACATGTAATATCAGATAGATCTTGTAAACAGAATAATATAGAAATTCACTGTCATAAGATAATATCTTGAATCTCAATATAGTGTTAGATACTTTATTATGAGGAAATATTATACTCTTACAGCTTGCTTTATTTTATATAGACTCTGATAAAGTAGTCTTATTAAGTTTTCTCTGTTATATTTAATATCTGTGAGTAGTTGTATATAGATCATCTCATTCTGAGATAATATATTATTTAAAAACTCACATACATAGTCAATTAATTTAATCTTTCATTCTTTGACAGTTAATATAGTAAATAGACTATATAATGTAGACTCTGATATCACGGCAGTATACAATCTCATATAATAAATACTCTGTTATTATAAAAACTCTCTAATCACTCAGCAAGCTCTAAAATGAATGATTTCTCTCTTATTATTGAATTTTTAATTGTATACTCATTTATCTGTAAGAATATTCATTTCCAGAGTCTTCTTAATAATAATATATATCTTCTTCTATTCAAATATCTTAATCTTCTTTTTCATTATCTTATATTAATAGTCTCAGTCTGAGCTTCTCTTAGCTTTTATCAGTGTAGTTAATCAGTCTATTAGAATACTTAGAATAGAATCATTCTTATTAACAGAGTCTTTGAACTTTTTATTCATGATAAGCTGTGTCTTATTATCTAGAAGATAGATTGAATTAATTACACTCTCTAAGTTCTTATTAATAGACTGACCGTGTGACCGTGTCTGAGACCAGAATCAAACTTTACAGTTATCACATTGCCTAAAAGCATTACTCCCGGTTATGATTTGTGTTCATCACATTGATCTCAAATCATGTTATTTCAAATATTAAAGATCTCAGATTCACTTTTCAAATAAAAATCTAGTTCTGAATAAAGAATATGTTTGAATTCTTTGTCACATTTTCATTCTGATCTCATTATTGAGAATGACATTAAATGAGATTATGAAATCACTTCTCACTTACATAATATCATAATATAGTACTAGACTAACCGTGTGACCGTGTCTGAGACCAGGACCAGATTTTTTGATAGTCTCATTACCAATTCAACTGATCTCATTACACAGTTTTAACATTAGATAGTAGTTTCATACTGTTTCAGTGAGACTTACTGTCTACTCTTGTCACATTTTTCAAATAAGATCATGATTTCCACTTCTCAATTTAAATTATTTTTATTGCTTTAAATGACTTTAAATCTCATTTGAGTGTTATCAAAAAGTGTTACTTTTTAAAAAATTAAAAATAGTCTAAAAAAAACCTTAAAATGTCTAAAAATAGTAACTTTATGTCAAGAATGAGACTAAATGAGATCAAATGAAATCACTTTCTTATTTTTTTCAAGTCATGGTTTCATTTTAAGATCTGATATATAGTCACTTTACATGTTTTTTTGATAGCCAGTCCCAGCAGGATTCACGCCAAGAAATGTATAGAATCAGATCAAATGAGATCAAATGTAAAATTCATAATCCCGGCGGTCAGTCTATATAGTACTCATTTGTTAAAAATTCAACAGAGAGTGTTATCAAATATCATTACTTTTCTAAACACAGATTATAATTCATATAATTTTAATTATGAAAAAAATATAAAATATAAAAAAAAAAACAAAAAACAAAAAACAAAATAAAAATAAGAAAAAATCAGAATGAAAAAAAAAGAGAAAAGAAAAAAAATAAAAACAAAAAAAATCAAGATTGCAGAGCTGCAGTATTTTCAAAATACTTACTTTTCAGAGTCTTTATAATGTTTATCATCAACTGTGTATTTCTCACAGTGAGAGTAACACAGCTGTGATGAATTATTATCTTAATATCATCTAATAAATAATCAGTATATATCTGTATAAATATGAATATTTAGAAAATATACACTTAAAAAGTGTGATCAGGGTGAACTCTGCTGTCACTTACATGATATTAAGAACAGAATACTGAAATTGATGATTTCTCTCATCAATTTCATGAATAAGATATGTGAAGATGATCTTGAGAAATATAAGATTCTCTGACTTCTGATAAAAATAAATCTCACAGAGAGACTCTATTTTCATAATATCAGAGACTGAGTATTATTAAAAAGTGTTATTTTTATACAATGCATATGCACTTACTGTGATGATTCACTCTCTGTACATGTGACTGAGAGTTGCAGCTTTCTTATACTGCACAGCTCTCTCTGAGATACTGATGCTGATTTGTAATTTATACAGTCTCTCAGTTCAGTATGCACTGTGTATATACAGCTCTGCATGCTGAGACTGTGTTGATTATTATAATCTGACATGATACTCACTTTTCACAGACTATGTTTCATTTGAGAGAGAAGAGAAAAGATACAACTGTGATTTTATTAAAAGAAGATGAATAATTAGTAATATTGAATATAATTTGATTCTTCTGCATTTAAAATTTGATTAGTCTATACTCTTCAATTTGAGAATTTCTGAGAGTGTTTTAATAGTTTTCATATCAGCTTGAACTTAGTGATGAATTGAAGAAGAAGAGAAAAGAGAGAAGAAAGAAATAAGAATAACTTATCTTTATAATATAAAAACAGAGAATCACTGCAATTATTCTTTTTAGTAATAAAGATCTGTTTTCTGCATGTATCTCTGATATAGATTATATGATAACTGTATACAAAGAATATCAACACTGTATACATTGAATGAAGATAATATTGCTATGCAATACTATAGCTGTTTCTGTATATCTCTAAAAGCTGTTAATATTTTCTTTGTCTCTTTATATTTAATAAGTCAGTAATATATTTCAATACACTCTCTCTTCTATTATTATCATCATCATTATTATCATCACTATTATCATCATTATTATTATTATCACTATCATCATCATCATTATCATTATCATCATCATTATTATCACTATTATTATATCATTTCTGACTGTCTCTCCTACCTTCATCTCTGTTCAACACTTATTAAAATCAATTATGTCATCTCTCTTCAAATATTCTGCAGTTCTGTGAATTATCAAGATGTGTGAGCACTGTCACAGATTGAAGAGAGAGAAGAAGAAGATGTTTAAGTGAGAGAAGATAGATCACAAGACATGTTATAATGCCTTGAAGAGACTCTGTAAGAGAGTAGAATAATAATGATTTTAAGTAACACTTCTGATAGATTTAGACTGAACTAAGTATAGAAATAATGCAGATGACACTGCCTGTGAGAGATTGAAGAAGAAGATAGTGAAGAGTCTTATACAGTAGTGATAAGATCAGAAGAAGTTCTGAGAATAATTTAAGTTCAAGATAAAGAGAGAAAGAGAGAAGAAGAGTATTACTGTAAATAAGTAATAGCAGAAGAAGATTAAGAGAATGTTGAAGTAAGAGATAAAAAAGTTAAAACTGATAAGTTTTTTATTTATTGAGAGATAATGATTTTTGATAATGCTTTTATTCTCTAATTGATTAGCAGAAGCTGATAGAGAAGAAGAGAATTAAGATCTTATTCAGGTCTTGAATACACTTCATAATTCAGAATATTGAGAAGACAGCTCTGCTCTCTGAGCATATCAATCTGCTTACTGCTGAGATGAAACCTG